TACCACAACAACACAAATTATTATTATTATTATTATTATTATTATTGTTGTTGTTGTTATGATTATTATTATTATGTAAACCTTTATGTGTGTGTGTATGTGGTTGTGCATGCTTGCGTGTGTTGGTGCCCACACATAACCCAGATTAAAGCAATCATCTTTCATGAAATTTAAAGACTCCCATTTAGTAACAGCAACAGGTACAGGGGGTTCACAAACATAGTTCCCCTGTGGTCACTTTCTCTCTCTCTCTCTCTCGTTTCTCTCTCTCTCTTTTTCTCTCTCTCTTTCACCCCCCTTACACACACACACTCTCTCTCACACTGACAAATGTCATAAATAAACATGTCCAATTCATGGAAGAGGCTGCAGAATGGCTCACAGCACTGCCTTCCATAAATGCCAAGCCTGCATCTCAGTTTACCAGGATCACGTCTCATAACATTTCTAAATAGTTCTTAAGAAGGGGTCCAAGTCCATGCCCCCAGGCCATCCTGTCCCTTCAAGGTATTTGTCTTTTTTGTGCAAAAAGGTTTTCAATATAAAAAAAAACCCATATCTTATTATCTTTACAGTTTGAGATAATTCCTGGTAAAATACCCTTTTTTAAACTACACTCTCCTTATACTGAGTCTGACTGAGCTAGACTTTTACCATGGAGTGGTTCTTAGTCACCTGTCTGATCTGCCTGTGGGATTTATTGAGTGTCCTATGACTATCCATGTCATACTTGTAAATGACGAGATGGCACCACTTGAGAGGCTCTATTCCACTTTGGATTCTGATTAGTAAAAAAATGAAAACGGCCTCAATGAAGCACTGCCAGGAATTCTAAAGAGGATATGATTATTCTCTTAAGAGTCTTCAGTGTCACGGTCAGTCAGGTCCGACACCTCTCCACGGTTCTTTAGATGTGGAAGGAATCTGGAGGACAACTCTAATGCATCTCAGCAGAAGTGCTTAATATGACCTTAGCATCACATACATTCCTTGCAGTAAAAATATAATTCAAGTGTACTTACAGATACTCATGGTTCAAAAATGGGGTCATTGTACACCTAACTGTCTGACTATTATAATGAGATCCCTACCTTTTATGGGAACGTCATGCCGGTGAAATAGGTAAGTGCTGATACCCTACAGCAGGGGTCACCAACTGCTGGTCCAGGGACCGGTGCCAGTACATAGGTCATTTGGTACCAGGCTACAGTGGTGTAGAGTGAAAAAATGTACTTCAGTTTTACTAATTTACTTCCTTTAAATATAATCCAGTCATATCCCTTTCCTTTTTTCATTTAAAGATAATCTGACAATGTTTCAAAACAACAGATGACACTGTCATCATCATCTCTGATACTAACAGAAAAAAATCAAAAAAGATGTTTTATTTTGTATATGTAATGATCCTTCAAGATTTATTTATTCCTGGCCTTTCTATGTGGAGTTTCTAGCTTCATGCCATGCTCCAAAAACACAAATTTGATCATAAATTAAGCACTGCTGAATTCAGTTGTGAATGGTTTGTTGTTTCCATATGTTTTTCCTGCAATAGATTTGGAAACTGGCTTAGTAGTATAGTCTGTCTTCAGGAGCTCCTGCTACTTCCCAATATCTAGAGGCCAAAACTACAAGTGGAGGGCCCAGATGATGCTTCCTCTATGGTTCCCTGTTATGCTGAAAAGGCTTTCATTGTCCTTAAAAAGCTCTACTGCTACTCCCATGTACAACTCCATAAAACAGAAGTGATGACACATTTGTAGAGTGTCAGCAGGATTAAGTAGTTGTGACGCAGCTCGCAGAACACGTTTTGGTGAATTCTGAAAAAAATTGAATTGAAACAGGAAGTTAAAGTTATTTTGCGCAAATTTTGGAATAAAACCTTTTGACAGTCTTGTTTCTGGATTTTGACTTGGGTCAAATGAGGTCCATGAGGTCGACAACTTCACAGACCACATCAACGCGGTGGACAGGAACATGAAGTTCACCAGAGAAGATGTGAAAAACAACAGTCTTGCATTCTTGGACTGTGCTGTTCACATCACAGAAAACAGACAACTCAACATACAAGTGTACAGGAAACCAACCCACACCGACTAGTATCTCCGTTTTGACTCACACCACCCACTGGAGCACAAATTAGGAGTCATCAGAACCCTACAGTCACTGGCAGACACCATTCCCACCACCAACAGAGGTAAGATGAGAGAACAGCTACACATTAGGACAGACCTGTGGCTATCCCAGATGGGCGTTTCTGTACATTTTGTATTCTGTACATTTCAGGAGTTTCGGAAAAACTTAGGAGGATCTTTAACCAACACCAGATCCCCATACACTTCAAACCGGGCAACACCCTAAGACAAAAATGGGTTCATCCCAAAGACAAGACTCCAAGAAACAAGCTGGACAATGTGGTTTATGCCATTCAGTGCAGTGAGGAGTGTACGCACCTGTACATTGGGGAGACTAACCAACCACTACACAGGCGCATGGCCCAACACAGGAGGGCCAACTCCTCAGGGAAGGACTCAGCTGTTCACATACACCTCAAGGACAAAACCCACTCCTTTGAGGACAACAATGTTCACATTCTGGCCAGGGAAGACAAATGGTTTGAGAGAGGGGTAAAACAAGCCATTTTTGTCAACCTGGAAAAATCATCACTCAACAGAGGAGGTGGACTCAGACACAACCTATTACCCACATACAAAGCACTTTTAGGAACAATACCCAAAAGTTTCACCTCAGTTTCACACAACAAAGAGGCAAGTGACCAAAACCGTTTTGATGGGGACCACAACGACCCATCAGACTCTTAACGACTATTCAACTTTCACAGTTGACCCCAAGGCCCCACCCAATAAGGTGGAGCTGAAGTAGCCCAGAGTATATATTTGCTGTACTCCCCACCACCAGTTAGAACTGAAGAAGCCTCTTGGATGAGAGGTGAAACGTCTTCTTTAAGAAAATTCACACCCAGTTGCCTAACAGAATTTTTCAACCGTGAGCATGACCTGGATGACTGAGAATCTTCATAGACAATCTACCACCTTCTTCATCTTCTTCAGAGATTAGTGTGTATGGACAGAGACCCCAGTAGAGAACTCTTTACAAATCTCCATTGAGAAAGAGACTTGGGGTTCTCAACTGGAGGATTTTACACTGTGTTATTGCAACCAATGCCTTTTGTCAATTATTTCTCATAATGTTGTGAATGAGGATCAGATAATTTTTTTTTACGTTTTTACTGAGTGCAGGAAATTGGTGGGTGTTTGTAATGTTTTAACACATGTTTGTAACTTATTTGGTGTCTCTTTCACTGCCCCCATTTTTATCTGTGGAGTTGGTTTATAAAACAACTACAGAAAAAACTAAATGTCACCTACTGAACTTTTCATAGGGGAAGCAAACATGTTGATCTACTGTACCTGACACGTAGTTGAGACTACAGGGTGGGACGATCCTTGCGTGAGTGTGAAGGCCAGACTGAGGCTGGAGTTTTGTTTCTACAGGATCACAAACAACATTGACATATTTGAGTAACAGTGGGACACTAGGAGCTGATGTGCCAGGTGACTGGCAACAAAGTGAAATGTGCACAGCTCCTAAATTATTTGTTGATTGTCTTTTGATTATGCTATTGTAGGCGTTTATAGTTTTTACACCTACTGTTAAAAAGGTGTTATTTAAAAAAAATCAAAAAATCTTAAATAACTTCAGTTTTCCCTTGTCCATTTTATCCCATTACAGTAGAGATATATACTGTAGATTCTGAACTACTGTAACTGTCTGCCATCAATATTTTACACTCTCTGCCTCCTCTGCACATAGTCCTGGATGTATCAGCATATTTCTCTGCTCCTTTGTGCCAACCAACTGATGAGTCCTCTGAGCGTCTCATTTATCAAATTAGGTAAGTACCCTGGCGGAGGACAAGAACAGAAATTGTAACAGGTGCTATTTATGTCACAGCAAGCCTGTCTCCGTGCCCGATGGGGAGACCATCCCCAATATCTGCACACAATGGAATCAGGTTTCTATAAATACTGCCACTTACACTTTCTTTCTCACTCCTCTCCTATCTTTGACTGTCGCTCGGATGGCTTACATAATAATTATAGCTGCCAGCCCATCATGAGAAGGCAGCTACAGAAATAACCCAGGCCTTGGTAGACAAGATAGGCAGTTATTTCAGAGAGTGAGATGTGTAGGTAACTCTAACCATCCAGCTGACACAAGTTGCAGTCAGATGTGAGTGCAGTTCAGCAGCAGGAAAAAGACAATTTGAATTTTCTAAATAAAAACTCTGGAAAAACGCAGTGCAATACTTAGTGTTGGTGTTATATAATATTTTGTTTATACAGGCAAAATTGTATCATTTGAAAACTAAAACAATATTTTTTGGAGTTGCAAGGTGTAGTAGAAAATCTTGCCTTGATTAAGTTCTGGCCTAGTAGGTGTTAAGTAGAGTAAGACCCAAAGAATCTGCATGTGTTTGTCCTCACATGAAACCTGTCTGTATATAATCCTTACAATGCTTACCACATCTAAAAATATGTATCTTTAAATATTTATCTATAAATAAATCTATAATATAATATAAAATCTATTTTATCTATAAACTGGGGATTCATGTTGAAAGAACATATGACAATGCAACTAGTATATGCATATACTCAAGATACTAATTTTACCATAACATTGCCCAGTTTTATTATTTATTTTATTGTACTCAAATAATTTATAATTGACACAATTTAAACGGCACAACGACAACAAAAGGCAATCGTTTAAAGGTCGCTTAATGTTACGAGCTACGTTGAATTGGCATCATTAACATGTTACTGTTTTATAGTTATTTCTACAAAGTTTCACAATTTTTTTCCTTCTTTCCTTTGATAGTATTCTAGTTGTGTCTAGTTGTGAGCAGCAACCTCTGCTGGTCTAGCTGTTTCCTACACGGGGCTTGTCTTTTTTAAATGCAGATTTCCACACGCGCCCACAGTTGGAAACATGGCTTCCTTAGCAACCCCTCGACCTGCGGATAAACAGTCCTCGGTAACTACTTTTTTTTGTAAAATTCAAATAAATATCGACTTTATAACTACATAACTTGTTAAGATGTGTGCCTTCGGGAACGTCTTTACATGTTATGTTTATTGATCAAGGCGTATTCCGTACTTTGAAGGCAAACTGTGAATGTGTTCCCTACTCTGTCCGATACTAATGTAATTTGAAATAAATGTATATACGTATATTAATTACTTAATTGTACTAACATTAATGAACTTTAATACGTTATTTAATTTATTTTTAATTTAATTTAATTTAGTAAGTTACAACGTGACGTAAACATAACACACTCACAAGACACCATCGTTGAGTTATTGTAATTGTATATACCTTTGTATTCCCACGTTGCTCACAGCTAGATTATTATAGTACATAATATACATCATTGTTTTTCCCTTCATATGCTTCTAACTCATCGCTTTGAGCAGGAAGAAGCCAGAGACTGCATTCGTGTCCAGCTGTCCTGCACAGCCTCTTCAGGCAGCAGTGATGCAGTGAAAGCAGCGGAGTTTCTCAGGGAAGCTGAGAAAACCAGGAGACAGTGAGTTTACTGTCCTCAAACACTGTACTTTCTGATACGAGGGCTATTTTTGTGATGTACACTCAAATATCTTTGAATATGAATGAATAATGTCATCACTGACACTGACCATCTTCATCACTTGCAGAGGCTGTAACTGAAATTTTTGTTCTGCACAGGATCGAAACTTTAGAGAAACAAAGAACACTGAGTTTCCAGTGCAGAAAGAATGGCCGGATAGATATTTCTAGAGAACTGGAAGAGTTTGAGAGGGTGATAGAGGAAAACAGGAACGCAGAGAGTAAGTGACCAATGGTAATCCAGTAATATTTCCAGTAGACAGTTGATTTAAATATAAATATAAGTACATTGTGATTAAAAAAAACATTTTTACTCTTTAGAGATGACCCTTCAAAAGCAGCTGTTAAAGATTCATCACAGTGTGAGGAAATTTCAGGGGCAGCTGGTAGATGTGAAATCAACATCTAAGTGTGAGTAACATCAGACATGCATTTACAAGACATAACTAATCATCCCCCCAAAAATGTAATAGTTTGAAGGATTTTCTCATGTCTCAAAACATAAACAACAATTCTATTCTATTCTATTATTTCAATTTTTTCTGTATGCAAGCATATTTAAATTGTTGTGATAAAAAGTATTTGCATACTTATATATGTACTTGGGCTCATCATTTATCATTTATTATTTTATTTTCAGTGATTGAACGACTGACAGAAATAATGTCAGAGGTGGAAAGCTCAATCAACAACCTGAAAGAGGAGCAGCGCTCATGGTACCTGTACAGTGTGAATGGAGTAGAATAGAATAGATTTACTTCATGACTTATTTTTATTATGTATTTTACTCAGTACCCTTCCAACCAACACCATCTTAAGATGGTGAAAATACTGTTAATACTAATGTTGTGATCCAGTATGTTTGTCATGATTTACACCGGTAATGACCCAAAATGCAGGCTCAGACAACGGTAGGTGAGAAATAAGGATTTATTTTGCTGTGGGAGAAAAAGGGGAAGGAGAGGGTCCGATAATGAGATGGAGGAAATGGCTGAGGTAAAGCAGTAGAGGAGGCACAGAGTGTAGGCTGTCCGGAGATGGCTGGTGGAGAGCAGGCAAGCAGGTAGCAGGAGGTGGACCTGAGCACAAGAGGATCAGTGATTAAAGATCATTCCATAAATCAACGGGAAGCACAAAGAACAATAGTTGAAGTCGATCAGGACGTTAACTACCACGGTGGCTGAACAAATGATCTGACAAGGAGTGGGAGAAAGGCCAGGATTTTTATGCAGTCAGAGTGATGAGTTGATTGAAGGCAGGTGAGCTGAGGTGATTATCCAGGCAGGATCAGGGAAATGTGCCACGCCCACCACACAGACAGGCAAGTGCACAACACAAGAATGGGGAAAACAAAGGGAAACACAGGGAACAACAGTCACGACTGTCATTGTGACAATGTTTTTCTGTTTCATTTTTAGCCTCATGTAAATCTTCCATAATTCTAATACTCATGGACACAGCTCTCATTGCAACTCTCATAATGTCCTCCCAATTGCTTAGTCCTCTTGGTCCAAAATTAAAATTATGTGTTACAAAGTCAAGCCAAGGACATCTCAACGGTTAACATTGTTGTGTTGCTTGAGGATTTGGGATTAAACATGCATTTAGTGTGCACCTGTTCTTCTCAGCTTCGAAGCACTTCAGAAGGAAGAGACGATTTGCAGACAGGAGGTTAAGGCTTATGAGAAGAAGATTGAGAACTGGAGCATGCCTCTGAAATCAGAACCCAAACTAGCAGCAGCTCCTACAGTTAAGGTAACTATATTTTACACCTCCCCTTTTGATGTTTATTCTGGTTTTGATGTACTTAACTATTGAGTATAGACTCTGTTAAAGTGCTCATTAGTATTTTTAAAAGTTATTTGAAAGTTCCAGTATTTCTTCTAGTGAACCTTTGTTTTCCATTAGACCAAACTTCTAGACAGTAACCTTCCTGCAGACGTCAGACCACTGGAGTGTTTCCTACAGAAGTCAGGTGGAGCCTGTGGTGGATGGGACCAGTACGACCATCAAACCTACATTAAAGTAAAAAAATATCTTCAGAATCTCATCTCAATCTTGCTTCGGGCATCTTAAGCCACAAGTTAAACTCCTGTAGGATTCTTTTTCGGAGTTACTCTGATGTTTGTTGATCCACAGATCTGGACAAAGTACAGTGGGCAGCCAGCTTACAGGAAGGAAGCCAAGCTTTACCTGCCTGGTAAAACACTTGAGGAGATTGAGCAACATGAGGAATGGCATCATGAGCTGATTTATCTACAAGACAAAAAAAGAGATGTAAACGTTAATAGTCTTGCACTGTGCTGGTCCTTCACCCCACTCAGTGATTTAAATTCAGTATTTGTCTTTTAAAATATTGTGTGACTTCATACACAGGCTATTCAGCGATGGAAGGCCAGCAAATATCAGGAAAGTCAGATGGGGATACAGAGTCAGGAGAAGTCAGAAAGAAGGGAGAAGGAGGCCAAAACTCTGGTTCAAAGGCAGAGGTGAGCTACAGGACTTTTCTGTAGAAATTGTTCATTTCCTTGTTTTTGTTATGGTGTGTTGAATTGTGTTTAGAATTGAGGAGGAAAAGAGGGAGAGGGCACATCGACTGGATGAGTGGAGAGAAAAGAAGCGAAGGAAAGATAAGGAAGAAGAGGAGCAAAGAGTGGCAGATGAGATCATGAAGAGGAGACTTGCAAAGGTGAGTACAGTTGATACTTGTGAATGGCAATTTAAATATTTAATAAATTATATTATTCCTTTAATTTTCTATCAGGAGGAGTGTCGCCGACAGGTGGAAGTGAAGCTGATCATTGAGCAGCAGCTAAGGCTGAAGAGAGAGGAGGAGGCAGAACAGGAGAGTTGGAGGAGAGAGGAGGAACAGAGGGAGATGGATAAGAGGAGGAGGGAGGCAACAAAGGGGATTAAACTCTTGACAGAAAGGGTAGGAAAAGTCTGAAAGATGCAAAGGTGTAGCATTGATGTTTTTAACTTTTATTTAGCCTCATAAATATAGAGAATACCAACAATAATTTTTTTTTTTAATTTTTAAAAATTTGATTGACTACTTTTTTTATTATTAAAATGCTTATTTCAGGCTGTATTTTCTTATCTCTGTACCTTTCTGTAGGACATTCACAAGGTGGGAGCAAAGCTCCATGAGAAACAGCTGAGGGAAAAAGAGGAGGAAGAAAAACAAAAGAGAATCACTGCCAAGCTGAAGGAGAAGGTAAAGCCTATGTAATAAATAATCAAGACACTTGTAGTACGATCTTCATAACACCACAAAGATGACTAAACATAGCTTCAAATAAAAAAACAAAACTTTTTTTACTGCAGTAAACAATGATTTAATAAGTCCTTTGTTTAGGTTGAAGGACACATTAGCAAAGACCCCTCCAGACTTACTAGACCCACCAAAGGATGGGAGGAGAGAATGAAGAATGTTGGACCCTCAGGAGGAGGACCTTCTCTTCAGATATTTCACAGGTCTCAGTGGATTCACTATAATAGTCAGAGATTCAAGATCATAACAACAAATATATTTCAGGGCCTGATGAACTCCTAAAATTTGTTTTCATTTATTGCAGAGCTGTTCCCACGTGGAGACAAGCCCTCTGAAGGACAGGAGTCTGTTGTAATACTTTTTTTGTAACTTTGTAACTATGTTTTATAGATGATCTGTAATGAGGAAACATTGTGTTGCTTCAATGTAGTGTTGTAAATAGAATTCATAGTTAGTTACCAAAGTGTGTTAAACCAAAGTGTGGTGAACCATAAACTGTTATCTATCTAAGTGTGGTAAATAATGGTCTGCTGGACAGGAGTAGGTACCCCTAAAAAGATTTTTACTATGCAGGTAAATAAAGGATGAGGTCTG